GTAGTATGACGCATTTTTCTTATGACTGAATGCTCTGATCTATGTTGTGTGCACCCGATGCAATTCTCGTGTAAAGATAAGGGATAGAAAAAATCAAATTCTGGTCTTATTTGCTGTTGTATAAACCCCGAATTGATCTACTGAGACTAATGCTTGAAGAATAAGGATAACTGGTGTCTAGCTGTCCTGTTTTGACTGCATCAATAGGGTAAATATCTAAAGATGTAGTGGCAGGGGCCCGCCCACCAAACTGCATGCGCTTTTGTCTCCAAGGTGGTTGAAATGAGCAGAAGGATTTGCACTGATTTCAGAGCCTACCGTTCAGCCGCAGCAGGAGACCTGTTTACTAGCAGAAGCATTCAGAGCATCATTAAAATGGTCCAGGCTGCATTTTTGTTCGTCGCTATATATATATATATATTTTTTTTTTCCTTCTTTCGTGATTGATGCCCAGTGCATTAGGACTTGGGCTGTCAGTGGCATCAATGGCCAAACGAACTGATTTCAATAGTAACCGGCCTTTTTAATAGCACCGGGAGTCTGCACTAGAGGTGGGCATAAATACTGCAGTGTTTCTGGAAATGGTAAACGTGTAGAACAGTTTGCTGTAGAGGCTGGCATTGAAAGACAAGTGGGTTTTTTCACGTTAATTCATTCAGGCTTATTGGCATTCACAGCAGATCCTAAATTTAAATCTTGGGGTTTTCTTTCTTTGTTTTTTTTAATTGGTGGCGTTATTCAGGGAAATTCTCCATTGCAGCAGTAGGAGGAAGGAGAAGGAAAAAAAGGAGGGGTAAGGAGAGACACTTAACATCTCATAGAACGTTTAGCAGTTATATAAAAGATGGATATAATGGTATAAATCAGTAGCTGATGCAATTCATGTAGCCCTTTTGGCGTTAAAAGAGCCATGTCAGCTTGAGAATCGGGTGCTCCAACTCTTCAGTTTTATTACAAGGTCTTTGGGAAAATGCCTGATTCTTCTGGTGGACTGGCAGAGTCCTAGCTCGAAATAAGGGCCCTGAGCGACCCTCTCACTGTCCTATATGTATTTGCTGTAAGTTCAAGGCACCACCATGTTAAAGTCCTGCTTTCTGCCCCTTCTTGAATTCAGCATTTGGCTTCACCAGCCTGGTTCTTTGTTCTCTTACAAAGACGTTTTTGGGAAGAGGAAAGAGACTCAGAGTAAGTGCAAGTGCAGGGCCGAGGAATAGTTTAAACTGAACGCTGCGTAATGTGTATGTACTTTGCTTTAAATATATGCATCTGTAATGTAGGGAATGAAGGAACTGGAGGAACATAGCAGTCACTTTTAGCTTTCCTCCCCATCCAGAGCTCTGTAGGGTGTGCTTCACTCTTGTTTATGACTACTGCAAAAAAAGATAAATTTGTTTTTGACCTAAAGTCTCGCAAAAGCGAGATGTAACCTGGGCTGCGATAAAAGCACATCGCTTGATAGCTGCCTTGTTATAATTACCTTTCTGTTCCTGCCAAACTGTCTGCTAATTGGAGGGAGTTTTAATAACCGTTTTTTAAACCCTTCTCTTAAACTTAATTTGCTGATATGTGCTTATTTCCATCTGAGTATGCAGTAGTGCTCTGGAAAGGCAGTAAAAGTATCCACTGCGTCGAAACATCACTAAGTTGGACGAAATGAGTTTGTTTGTGTTGTGTAACCCGTGGCAACAGACTTTTGGTCCATTTCCCTGACAGCAGTTGACTCACCGTTAGCCAAGTAGTGACTCCAGTGCGTGGGTGCATATAGGAAATTTTGCATATAACCAAGGCAGAAAAAATAGAGATGTGGCTATTACGCATCTCTCAAAGTATTATCGAATGCTTTTGCTGTAGGTGATGGTGGCAGGCTGCAGGTATGAGTGAAGCTGCCAAGTAGACAAGCCCACTGGAACTCAACTCCTTTTCCGTTGTGATTTTTTTGGATCATTAGTGTGATGAAAGAACTTGCAGATGAAATAAAATATTTTATCTTTCCAGTTGAAAGTGCAGCAATTGACTTGTGTTTTGACATGCACTTTTGAATAATGCAGAGGTTGTTTCTAGCTCTACTCTTTTATCTCTGAAGTGACACTGCAGACTGTCAGCTTTCTCACAGAATAATTATGTATTGTTGTATGCTTCTTTGTTGCAGAGTGATCGTCTTTTGATCAAAGGTGGTAAAATAGTTAATGACGACCAGTCTTTTTATGCAGACATTTACATGGAAGATGGGTTGATAAAGTAAGTGAAGCCTGATACCGTGTTGCAATTGGGAATGTACAGAAATGCACTGCAGATTAGCAAGGAATAATTTAGTGAGCTATATTAAATTGCAATGCAAAATGAATATTGCACGTATATCATATATGTGTTCGTGGTGTTTGATGGAGGAACTTTAAAAACCAGGTGTTGAATTAAATAAACAAATGGGCCAAGACCCCACTGTTACTAAAGCATGGGTCAAGGGCGGTACTTACATGTGCTTAATTTTAGCCATGTGAATAACGCCATGCTGAGATGACACATATGTTTGAAGTTATCTGTGTTGTAACGTTTTACTGAGTTATGACTTAAGATACTTTGAATCCAGAGTTCAGCATCCTAATACAGTTACTTCTGTTTTAGGGTGGGAGGCTGGACTTAGGTGAGCTCCTGAGGTCTCTTGCAGCACTGTCTTCTATGATTCTATGATATGAGGATCAATCTAAACTCCCTTAAAGTTAGTAATGATCCTGTAGCTTAAGGATTGAGGTTTCTGTGTTTTCAGTCCTGAAACATGCGTTTCTGGCACGTTAAATATATTACAGATTTCTTTGGAAAATTACTCTTAGGAAAAAATGGACAAGCCAGGGGTTACAAACGAGGAATTTCCCTGTTCTGGCTAAACGGTCAGCACATGTGCTTTGTTAATCAAGGTTAAAAGTTAAAGGAGCCAGCCAAAGACAGCTAATTAATTGCAACGTGTCACTCACTATCGCACTTTTAAAAATATATCTGTAAAGGTAGACTGGAGAGGGCTTTGGGGGTCTCATCAGGAATTTGGTAACCGGTATCTGCATGGGTTTATATTTGTGCAGGGACTACATAATATTTGTGCATGAAAGGAAAGTAGACAATATAGAGGCAAAAATTCTTCCAGTGCTCCCAAAACAATACTAACATCTAAATCGCTGTTAGATAGCTAGAATCAAGTGTTGAACTGCCACTTGGCAATCCCAGTCCAGTCCCAGTAAAGCTGCTCGCAAGGCTCTTGCTGTCTTTGGTGCAGCGATCGTCTGATTATCCGCATGGTCCCTTCTCCGGCTGTCTGCCATGTGGCTCCTTCTTTTCCTTCCTCTTAAGTCTAATATTGCCCCAAGGTCCTGAAGTAATTGCACACTTTGCTCTCAATTATGCAACTGCTTCAAGGGGAAGCATAAAATATTATCAGCTATGTATGCTGATCCTGTACGTTGCTTTATATGGAAAAAGAAAACACTAGCCAGGTTAAGTAGCACAGGGGTGTATGTTTACAGGCTGTTTGCCTTGTCTCATGTTTGTGTCTGACTTGCTGTTTGAAATGCGTTTACCCAGGCAAATAGGAGAGAATCTGATTGTGCCAGGGGGAGTGAAAACTATTGAAGCCCATGGCAGGATGGTGATTCCTGGAGGGATTGACGTTCACACCCGCTTCCAGATGCCGGAACAGGGGATGACATCTGCTGATGACTTCTTCCAAGGGACCAAGGCTGCACTGGCTGGGGGCACCACCATGATCAGTAAGCTGGCTGTTTTTTCTCTACCAAGAAAGCTTTACTTTTTTCTTTCTCAGATTAAGTACAGAGACTGTGGGCTTTGTAAGTCACATGATATTTTGGACCGGGTATCAGCAGTGGAGGATTTCTGATGTCTGTCCAGGTTGCTGAGAAAAGCTTGTGTAGGGGTGGGAAACGGGGTGGAAAATCAAGACCCTAGGATTTCCACATCTTGCAGCTGTCAGTCATTTCACTCTTGTCTTCTCTGTTGGCAGGGTTTACTGTGCTACTTGCGTGACTGCCAGATTCTTGGGTCTGCTCCTAATGAAACCAGTGTCACTTTGACCTCTGGCTCCAGTATGAGCAGCAGATTCTCCACATCCCTGTGCCTCGGTTACCTTTCTCCTTGATGTCTGTGACTCCAAGAGGCTGGTACTCTTCCATCTACAGAGTTCAGCCTTTCTGGAACAGTGGTTGCTGCACATACAGAGAGAGGAAGGAGAGGTACTTCATACAGGGTTGTCTGAGGAGGGATAGATGTCCATCGTATGGTTCACACCCAGAAGCTTGATGCCAATGTACTATCTATCTTTGAAAATTGGGCCACTTATTTGAGGATTTGCACATGCCCACTTATGTACGCATCTTTAGCACCAGGATTTTTGTTAGCGTTGTTCCTTTTGTGCTCATATCCTCTTTTGGAGGAAGAGAGAAATCGGGAAATGAAAATAGCTCAAAATAAAAAGACAGACTGACTGACTGTTCTGCTGACACCAGGATTAGACACTCATGGTGTTCCACTCTGGCTCTAAAATGCCTCATGAACGACTTCCAGGCTATCTGTCTCCGCTTGCATTGGCTACAGATGCTTGGCTTGTCGGAGCCAGGACCTTAAAACTCCATAAGTGAGTCATTGTTAACCTTGTTTGAGCTAGAGAAAAAAATAAAAACCTCTGTTGCAGTGCAGCTGATCATGTGTAAACTGTAACGCGGCGCCCTGGAGTCTGTTGCCGCATATGGGAATCAAGGATAAAGGTGTAAAGTGATACAATATCTGAGCATCTTGCATTCTTTCATGTACTCTGAGGTGCTGCCATTTCACAGGAGGGGAGTTAAGGTACAGAGAAATAAAAGAGCATGGTTCAGAACAGGTACTACTGTCTATTGTCCGATCCGGGGCTATGAAGAGGGCTTAGGCACAGCCAGGAATCAGCCTAACTCTCCTCAGTTCAAACCTAGCTCCTTACGGGCTAGAACATCCTCATCTCTTAGAGGATGGTTATGAGCGATCTCTGATCCCTGGCCTGGTGGATGGACTCGGATGGATTGACATGGAGGTCGGGAGTAGGAGCCAGTGGTCCAAACACAGCCAGACTGTCTGTGTTTCAGAAACAGATCTTTTTCTGGGTCTGGACCTTGCGAATAGGTTGTGTCTGGCCTATGAACTTGGTCTAATGCTTCAAATAAATACCCATAAAATAACCTGGGAAATTATTTTTCATCATGTTACCATTTTACAGTATGAAGTTTGTGTGTGAAGATAACCTCACATGTACAGAGAATGTAAAGTGAGAGTGTAGCTGTGGATGGTCTCATTGTGCATACTAATATGCAGTTTTTCTTCAAATCTTTGCTGTCAATTTAAATTAATAACACTGGGATGGTATTTTCTTTTCAGCTTCAGTTCATTGACTTTGTTTCATTGGTTGTTCCCTTGTTATTAGTACACCTGCTTCACACTTGGATTACCATTTTGTTCTTCCTTGTTAAGTTGAGTTAGATCAAAATAACATTCTCTGTCATCTGCATCTGAGCTCTTACCAGCTCTTATTTCCCCCAACGGCACTTTTAAAAACATTTTAAGCAGAAATTGCTTAGGCAAAATTTTCTAAAGTAGCCCTTTGGTTGCCCAGTTTTACCTATGCAGAGCCTTATGCTTCAGAAATGCTTGGACCTTTCCGAATATGTGTAGATGTATATTGTCTTTATGTATCTGAATATCTCACTAATGGTGTTCGTAACACACCTCTGAGTTAGGGAAATTGGGGAGAGTCCCCCATTTTATAACTTCTCATTTTACAGCTGTGAAAAAGTAGCACAATGTAGGTTATGACTGTGGGCAAACCATGTAGAGCAGGACGGTGGCTAACCTTGACCCTGCTGCCTTCCTGAGTGTCTGGGATTAGGGGACAAAACACACAATCATCTCTGAACAAAAAACATCTTCCTGAAGCGTAGCAGCAGGGACAGTAATTGGACTGCTTAGGGTGCTGGAGAGACATTTCTGATGGGTGGGTATCAGCAACTGGAGCTGAACAGTGGAAAGCGGGATAAATAATCCAACTAGACTTCAAAGCTTTGGAGATGCTGCTCTGTGTCAGCTCAGCTGTTCTCTTAGCAAAATTATATGATTTGCAAAAATGTTTTTCCGCAAGGAGGCATGCAGAACTGCCCTCGTGAACATGCCCTTGGTGGGTGGCCTTTGGTTTTTCCCAAAGCAGGTGGGAGTCGTGGTTGATTGCAGCATTTTTTCTTTTATAATAAATAGGACAACGTTTAGTGAACTATATTCATAATATCACAAACAGATTGCAGCCTGAAAATGACACGCTAGTGTTTATGTCGTTGTATATTTTAAATACCGTGCCTGGGACTTTTCAAAAAAGAATATCCTCCTCTCATGGAAACGTGTCTAGCTGTGTGCCTTCATTCTTCGGGCTTTTTTGGAAAAGCTAGCCTCATGGGTGTGAGCTTTGTGGGGAAAAAACCACCCTTGTTTCTTCATTTGTGCTTTAAGCAAACTTTGTATTGTTTATTTACAAATACCTTTACTCCATCCGTTTTTCTGTCTTATACATAGCCCTCATTTTGTGCAAGAAGACAGGTTAGTCGGCTTCATGCTTCAATTTGCTTCACATTTTCATGCAGGAGGGCACTTTAAGGCTGTTTACTTTACAATCATTGGAGGGAAATACTTGTTTTATATACATTTTCCAGTGAAATTAAAACAAGAATCTTGGCTACGTTTCTATTGATTGTTGGTTTTATAAAAACTGTGGGTGAAATCCTGGCTTCGGCAAAGTAATGGAGAGTTTTGACCTCAGGAGCACAAGGGATTCACCCTGTATGTCTGGTTTGGTTTCAGTGAACTTCATTTTCAGCTCAGATCAAATTCAATGTTGTTCCTTTAATTCTCATGGCAAACGCATCCAAGGGAAGCACGCAGGAGTTCAAGAATGTAACCTATTGTTTCCAAGCCCTGTTCTCATTTATTTCCGTTCCCCTTTAAAATAAATTCACTACTACAGCATTAGAGATAGGAGAATCCAACTCTCAACTGGTATCAAACGGAGTAGCCCCACTTTCTGTGCGGAACCGATGGAGATTTATCCTGGTGGGAAGCAGATGTGGCTCCAATCCAGCGCTTCCCAACTCATCCACTGGTCAGCTGGAATGAGGGAGAGTGGCTGGTGGTAATTTGAATTAGCCCTTTTCTGCTCTACATCACCTATACGTGATGCATCCATAGGGCTCTCCAGTCCTTGCTTCCCTGAGCCCTCCTCGAGGTTGCTTCACTCAGGAGTTAGGGCTGATTTCTTTTTCTAGCTACTCGTCCCACGGAGGCCATCTGAACAGGAATTCCAGCTATGATCCTTCTGTCTCTACCCTCTCCAGTGCCAAAGGCAAGACTCCAGCTGACTTTGCTAACATATGAAAAAATAGAGTTGGTTTTGCTGTGCAGAGCTGAGAAGTGATATGACATATTGTGATATGATTGTTTGTTCTTCTGAAACGGCAATTTGCATGATCCTTTCTCTGTCCCTACCTTAAAACAATGTTAGTGTGGGTATGTCAGCCGAGGGCGAACAGCACTGCGCATGTTTTAGGATAACATTACTCTGGAAAAAACTTGGATTATCGCCCTTTTAAAATGTCAGAATGCAGTGTTTGGGCGTTAAGTTGAAGGGAGGATTCCAGGATGATCCACAGAAGACTTTGGAGGAGAGAGGAGTGTTAGATAGGCTCCAGCTCATTCAGGGTAGCTTCCCGAAGCTCCCCTGTATTCCATGGGAAGAGAACAGTCCTTCCGGAGTTTTGGAAAAGGACTCTGTCTAAAGGTGCCCTTTACAAGAGGCTCTTTCTCGTTCATGGAGCCTATGGAGCCACAGTTTTGTTGAGCTAAAGAAGGCATTTTTGAGCCCCTATTGTTCCAACTTGAGGTAGGTTGATGCCCTAGGATATAAAACAGTCCCTGGAGCTATTAGAGAAGGAAGATATCACTGCTAAGAACAGGGTGGTCTCTGCAAGTCTTGTGATGGTTTGGTCGCTTATTAACTGTGATGGGTGAAATCCCCATCAAAATCAATGGTAAAACTCCCCCTGATTTCAGGATTGCCTTTCTCTGCTCCTAACCCTGCAGAAAGGATGAAGCTAAGCTGTGTATATTTACTGGCTCTCTGATCCTCTAGCCTGTTTAATGTCCTACTGAGAACTGCATCTATCCAGGCCAGCTCCCACACACATTTCAGCCCCCCCTCCCGAAGACTGTGCTTCTTCCTGGGTATCTGCTGTCCTGGAGTGAAATCGCTTGCTGACATTGCCTGTGTTGACTCAGTCAACCACTGTTATAATCATAGAGAGAAATTACAGTGAGAGAAATTATAGCTCTTTCTGGCTTGCTGACTTGGAAGCCAGCTGCCTTTTGAACTTGACTAGCAGTTATCCTAATAACATGGAGAATGTACGCTAGGGATATGAGCCTTTGTATCTTGGGAGGTTCAGAAAATGAAGGGGAGCTTCAAATGGGCTGCCGTCTGCTTCCTAATGCTTTACCCTGCTATTAAAGAGAGAGCTGGCGGCAGGGTGGCAGGGATTTTCAGGAGCGTGTTAGCTGCTTAGCTCCAATCAAGTTTGTGGTGAGTTGACAGCAGGTCTCCCAGGTCATCCTGAAGATCACCACCTTGCTAGAAGGAAATGTTTCCAGTCTAGTATTCTTCCTCACCTCTCAATTTTTGAACTGAGCA